TGTTTGTTGTTCAGGAGTGGCTTGACAAGAGGAATACGACATTTGAAGCCCATGTCCAGGATCCGTCTGTGTGTGGTGGCTCTTGATGCACTGACTCCAGCCTCAGTCCACTCCTTGTGAAAGTCCCCAACACTTTTGAATGGCCTTTTCCTGACAATCCTCTCCAGGCTGCGGTCATCCCTGCTGCTTGTGCACCTTTTTCTTCCACACTTTTCCCTTCCACATAACTTTCTATTAATGTGCTTTGATACAGCACTTTGGGAACATCCAACTTCTTTTGCAATTACCTTTTGAGGCTGTCCCTCCTTATGGAGGGTGTCAATTATGGTTTTCTGCACAACTGTCAGGTCAGCAGTCTTTGCCATGATTGTGCTTCCTACTGAACCAGACTGAGAGACCATTTAAAGGCTCAGGAACCCTTTGCAGGTGTTATGGCTTAATTCGCTGATTAGAGTGGGACACTTTGAGCCTAGAATATTGCACCTTTTCACAATATTCTAATTTTCTGAGATTGTGGATTTGGGGTTTTCATGAGTTGTAAGCCATAATCATCACAATTAATGACAAATCACGGCTTGAACTATCTTGCTTTGCATGTAATGAGTCTCTCTCATATATTAGTTTCACCTTTTAAGTTGCATTAGTGAAATAAATGAACTTTTGCACGATATTCTAATTATTCGAGTTTCACCTGTATGTGCATTGCTTGTACAACTCCCTTGCGTGCCATGTAGAGGTGCCAAAGCCAGAATGTGATGTCACTCCGGTCCAGGCTTTTCTATAGGACACGTGAGGGAGCTGTATGCTATGCACGTATGGATGGAGCTCCCTCGCGGCCATGGTCCCAGCCCACCTCAAGCTGACACTCGGCACCGGGCAGCATATTTTGAATGGCTGCTCGGCGTGAGAACCGACAGTGCTGTGCTAGGGGGAGGCAGAGGAGTCTCTCACCTTGAAAAGTGGAAGGCATGCGGCGACCCACTGAACACAGGCTTGTGACCCACTTTTGGGTCAGGACCCACTAGTTGAGAACCAAGGCCTTATACAATGTGAGGAGTAGTGCAGATTAAAAAAATATGATTCTGGCAAAAGACAACAGTTGTGTACACCGATACTCATTGGTAGATCTTTACAGAAAAAGTGAAGGGATTTGTTCTCACCTATTGTCTGGGACACATTTTCCCTGTTAGTCTGTCCTCTGCGCAGCGATGACATAGCTGCATCTCGGAGCCTTTCCAGAGCCCTGCGCACAGCTGCCTGAAGTTGTTGTCGGAAGCCTGGACTGTCACAGCCCATGTTAAAAGGTAGATATTTCTTCAGTAGCTGCAGCTCTTCAAGGGAAGGGGATTGATTAGTTCTTGGGCTACAGCACAGGAAGATGAGAGCACTTAAACGTACTCCCTCATCAGCAGATTCCAGGCATAACTGAAGCTTTTCTTCTACACCTGTTACTCCACCTGTGATCGCTTTCTTAGTGCGTACAATGCTGATCCAGGCACGCAGCTGAAGAGGACCACAACCATCAAGCTGTTTTGCCAGCAAATTAAATGATTCAGCAAAGGTGCGCAAAGTACAAGGAAGAAGATGTGTGGCAGTGTTACTCTGCAGGCTGCAGTCTGTAGAACTCAAAGCATTACTAAGAGGCAAGAGCCAAAACTGTGCCCAATGTTTAGCCAGCTCCCCCTCATTGGCCAATCCGTCTTGAATCCATTCCTCTCTCTGAATTGTGATGAGAGTGCGATATGTATCAGCAGCAGGAGGACAGAGGTAGTTGGTGGCCAGACAGTAGAACAAGTGGCCAGGTAGCAGAGGGTAGAGAGCTAAAGTCTGCAGGAAATAGAAGACAAATTATTTAGACACTTTTCATTACAAAACTGTGTTGATGCTCATTTGCAATAGACCGTATTGAACATTCTAATAAAACCCATTTGGAGCATTACTAAATTAGCACTGATAGTAATCTCATTGTCCTTCAGTTCGAGCACAGCAAAGATGCACTCATGGGAACATACATTTCAAATACGTCTAAATCACAATCTATGGTCAACAATGTTCAACCCATTAGCTAAAACTGACTGAAAGCTCTGTATGTTGAAACATTCCAATTTTTACACTTCAATCCTATTGAGTATTGCTGTCACAACCATTTCAAGGGGTTTTTTTTTGTTTCCCAAAAAAAAAAAAAAAAAAAAAAAAGGAACGGACTTGCTAATCCAAGAACTAAAACAGAGAATCTCCATCTCTCACAGCCTATTTGCAGACAGCAGTGTGAACCCCAACAGCCGAAAGTACCTCATAGACTTAACTAGAACCAACCTTCTTAGACCCCAATAAAGGCATAAGAGCACAGAGTGGAGGATATCTTGACCGAGCCTGCCAAGGGATTTCTCTGATCTTCTGCATCACATCCTGCAACATGGTTTCCTCCGATAATGCAGATAGCTGACACTCTACATGATTAATGTGTAAAAAGTGCTGAAAGCAGCTGAGCATGAGGGCAGCCATACCATCAACCTGTGAAATAGGAAAACATGTAGGTATGTATTAGACAAAATGCATAGCTGTTCCAGGTCAGTGGCAAAGTATTGTGTCATAAGGATCAACATGCTTGCCAGACTCTAGTATTATTTCAAGGGCAAGTTACCAATGGCAGCTTCTATGATAGGTTTACTTTAAAAGTGTTTCATCCCAAATTGAGTAATTTTTGAATGTGCTGCCACATCCAGTGTCATTTTCCTGATTTCTGCCGTTTCAGTTACACTGCATATATAAATTTTACTGTGTTATGCTGTATTTCTGACTACAAGTGTAAGATTAGCAATGTTACAGCTTAATCTGTGCACACTTGGCATCTTAGTCTCACCCCTGCTGTTTTCTGTATATTGGTACAGTCTTGTGCTAAAAGTTCCCAGTAATCCTCTATTCTCTCTCTCTCTCCACACCACCTTCTCAAGAGGTAAGGTGGCGACGTTACCCTGTTAATGGCAAAGATAGGAATGTCTTTTCACTCTAGGAATGATAAGGAATCACATCCTATGTATGGAGATAGCAAATAAACTACATTGGCTCATACTCTGAGTCAGACCTATCGAGTTGAACACTATCTGTGAATATCACCGTCAGTAGGTTGTCATACTGCCCGTACAGACAAGTCTCAGGAAAGTATGTGCAAATACATAAAGCGGTGGTTGTAACGGAATATTGAATGTAATTTTTCAGAATACTTTCATAGTCATATATCACAGACTTTAAGCAAGGCAGATTTTTTTTTTTTCTGTAACAAACTACAGATTTTACTTTCTTCCTAATATGTGTAATGTATTAATACATAACGTGTACTACTACATGATAGTCACAAGGGAAACCGAAACCAGTTGTATTACTTGAAGCAATTGCAGCCCTGTGGTTGTACCTGCAATTTGTTTTCAATGTGGTCCAATAAATAATATTTTACTATATCTAGTTATACTTTAAAGTTGCAGATACGAATAGAAACTTCTGTTACTTGGCGGAATCAAGAGCAGATAGGCCCATTTATCAAACATCTAAGTATAAGCAGCATTGGGTATTACTGTAGTCTTTGTGGATACTGCAGTGTGTGGCTAGCATTTTAAAGACTGGATTACCTGTATCTCAGCTCCAACCCACAGTAGTCTGATCACAACAGAGGTAGTGTCCGTCTGATCTGTCAACAGAAGCTTTCCACTGACTTTGTGAAGAGTGGAAGTTTGCTTGCATACACATTGTAACCAGAGGCAAAACACTGGAATAATGAGGAAAGCCATAAGTGCATGTTGTGGCATTAACATTGAAAGTACTTCTCCATGTAATATTTACCTTGAAAACTGTAGTACTGTTCAGTGTGCCCTTCACACAGAGAGGCTATGGCAGGAAGAAGGTGCTCCAGCATGGTCAAGTTCTGTGAAGACATAAAACTTTTACTGAATACATATACTGTACATATTAAAGTGAACCTGCGTTTTTCCCTAGAAGTAAAGCGTCAAGTTCACTTAAAGATGCTGCTAATAATCATTCTTCCATTACATTACTCACATGTGGAAGCAGAAAAAATAATTTCTGTGTAAGCTCCAAGTCATCAGGTTACACAGGGCTGAGGATTATCTCCCCATTCCCATGTAAAAATGTTAGGTGCCTAAGAGGTTTATCACATGGGAGGAAGTACATGGTATGGAACTTTGCTTCCCTGTGTGAGTGGAACTGCGGGAGAGTGAAAGGTAAATCTACAGATCTTTGACGGCTGACATTCAAGTGAACCTGTTTTCCCCCCATATTTGCAAAACACAGATTCACGTTAAAGAAGAACTCTGGGAAAAACTTGTATTAACCTTTGCAGTGGGGCTAACCCTGCACTGCAAGGGTTAACTGCTCGTTTTCATCTAGCACAAAAATAAAAAAGCTTATACTCTCCCGGTCCTTGGAGACCCCCCCCCCCCAAAAACAAAAATGCCGGTCCCCCGCCTCAACCCCCTGCTAGCG